AAAGGTTTCAAATGAAAACGAACCCAATGCTTCAATAAAACAATGTATTCCCGTGAAGATCAATCGATTTCAATCAGATCAAAAAAATTTTTCATTTCTTTCATTACATGCATTCCCATCAATTACTGCGCCAACAAAAAATCGAAATGGAAAGAATAAGTAGTGCAGCAGATGCATTGAAATCCCTTTAAATAGTGAGAAATCCCCAGCTTTGAATTAGTTGGAACCCAATGAAAGTGATTGATTACAAATTGAAATGAAAATAACGTTGGTGTGCTATGGAGGCGGTGTGCTGGTTGGGCTGAAATGGTTTCTAGGATATATGTGGTTTTACCTTAGTCGACGGTACACCGAATGAGATGTAATTTGCTTGACTTGTGCAATGCAATAGTTTGGTCCAAATGAACTTTGAGCATCGAACTCACTCATTGCTGCTAACTAATTCCTGGTATCAAAGTGGCCGCATGTGTGTTACATAAACCAAAAGCCATTAAATTCGTTTGTGTTGAAATTCGATTAAATTTTCTAAAATTGCTTTTCATGAGCCCGAAATACAAACGGATTCGAAAGCCAACCGACTTGTAGCGGTTGATAATATCGACTCCTGTCACAAATTTTGTGATGTATCCTAATGCCAATATATTGACCAATAAAGAAGCAAAGAGCACACAAAATGGTATATACAAATGAACATCATACAGTTCATTTGCAACCGGAAACAATCTCATGCTCACATGTTGGAATGATTTGCATTTCCAACATACGATAGCCCTGATTCCTCTGACCAATTTATTTGCACTATTATTTGACAATTTACTAGATTGCATTTAGATGGTATTTTGCGTTTGAATTTCGACGAATACAAATATTTTGCAAGTTTGTTAACGTAAGCTCAACATTTTTGTTCCAAAACTTAGTTCGAATTCGTTCTAAATACCTGGAATTTGCAATAAATACATTATTTTCATCGTTTTAACATACATTTAATTGCATTCCTCGATTTCGAATCATAATTCCTGTAAATGCTTTCGGAATGTATTTATCTAAATAGTCGGGATTAGAGAAACCAAATTTGCACTCTAAATCTTCTGCGTTATCAGAATACTCAATTAAAGCGTTTAGTTAATTTTGATGTAGAAAAAAAAACAAAGCAATTTCATGGCAATGCAAATAAATATCGAGTTTATCACAGTGTTTCGTTTTAGCTCAATTTGCCTGCAGCATATAAAATCAACAGTGACACGCACATTCGACATTGTTACGCATTTGATTGTTGTGTGCATGTAGATTTAATTTGAAATCGATTAAAACGACACTTGCAGCTTTGCATGGTTTATGTGCTGAGCCCGTCCATGCACGTTGGCAGTATGTCAATCCGCTGTGTATACGCACATGAAACAACAAATCCGAGTTATCAATTTACACTAATGTGATTTACATGGTCGTTTGACCGATGCACTTAATCGAAAATCGCCAGCACCCAATCTGATTACACACACACACACACACTCTCGCTCTCTCTCTCTCTCTCTCTCACGCTCTGTCATTTGACGGAATCGGATACAAGTCGTCACCCAATTAAAATGCATTACAAATAGCTTCCAGCGATAAGATTAAATTACTCTGAAATTTTGATCTCACACTCGTTCTGCCGTACCTCGTTACTGTTTTCCAAGCATTTTGGCTCGAAATTGGGTACAAACAAGCCAGAAGTAAACATGGGAAATATTACAATGCAAACAACAACATACTAGTTTCACACCTTTTTTTGCGCTCCGTTCGTTGAAATTTCAATGGCCCGAGAAAATCGATTGTAATTTCCACTGTACGAAGCAACACAGCCAGCCAAGGTGAAGACGTAAAATGCATATCATTTCAATAGCCAATTTTGTGATTTGCTAAAGACACACGTGGGCTCACATACAATGTTGTTTGTGTGAGTGCAAACTATGATGGTACAGCCCAAGTTAAATGAATATTTTATGGAATTTATCGTCGATGCCAATTATTCATTTCATTGCATTGCAAATGCACGTATTAATATTAATTACATGGTTGGAATATTGAAATGCGTGTAAATAATGTAGCCAATTTGCAATTGCTACCCGACTTTACTGCACACAAATACTCTCGTTCTCCCTGTTCCTCTCTTTTTCGGTGCAATTGTTGCAACGAACGTCAAATGCGGTGAAAATATTCGCATGCACATTGATTTTAATGCAGAGACGGTTTCGTTCTGCTAACTTTGTGACTCACAGAGAGAAAACATGATTTCTATTTTGACACTCTTTGTCTCGAATGCAGGTTTCATTCTTCTCATTGTCTCGTCTGCTTTCTTGGTACTCAACGAAGTGTTTCGATCAAAGAAACAGTGAGAAAAAAAAGCAGAGCAAGAGAAAGAAAAAAGGGAAAAAACGCACGCATGACATTCACCATTTTAAGCAGTATGATGATAACAAGAGAATGAGCATTCATCCGGTCGGTTCGATAAACGGCGCTAATAATAGTAATCGAAACACTTCAGTTAAATGATCCAAAATCGAGAATGCTACAATATCGTTCAATGTTCCGCTCGGCTTAGTTCGTTATTGTCGGTTCTCGGCTTAAACCAATCAGCTGTCATACATGTGCCCATTTAGATAGCCTTGTGCACGTCCAAGTGATCGAAATATACTTTTTGCGCAGTTTGAAATTCTTTTTTTTGTTGCCAATTTAACGCTAGGATTTTACCAACAACGAGCGGTCCTCAAAATCGTATTGATATTCGGTGTTTTTTTCTTCTCTGCTTTTTAGCTATTGGGGTGTATTTGTGAGCACTGCAATAAAATGTTACCGTAACCCATTGACGAAACGGTTACTACCGAGCACATTACACCCACCCGTGCCACTGAAAAAAAATCGTTCGCCTACAGTGGATAATTTTCGACCGAAAGTGAGAAAAAACCACATTTAGAACGGCGAATCATACAGCCAAGTGTGGAACTCTCTTCTATTTCAATGGAGTCGACCATATTTTTTCCGACCAATAGCGGCATATGATTATGATTCTGCGGGCCTCATAAAAAATTAATATAATTTTTCAATTTTGCATTACAAGCACTTCCATATCATTTTGTGGTTTGTTTCGTTGGAAAAGAATTTGCACGCAATTTCCGGTTTGTGGTGCGCGTTTAAAGTGGTGCCTCTGCGAACCAGCAAAAAAAAAACGCAGGCAGACGACTTCAATCCCTGGTGTACTCGAACCGGCAGTTCAATGTATTCCACTGAAAAATGCAAAAAACAAATAAAATTTGCATTAATTTAAGTAAATACTTTTTTTCACATTTAATAACCACTTAAATTAGATACTACACAGCAGAAGAAAAAAAATTGGTATCATTTTCTGTTATTTGCACACGTTCAAATTAAAAGTCGATCGCTTTGCGCAGCTTCGAAGCGGAGAGAGCAGAAATGAAAACGAACAAGAAACAAAAACGGTAATAAGAGATAACGGAAAAATTAACACATAAAATACGTATCCGAATTGATGCGGTGCAATAATTTTTGAAGTAACATACAATAAAACCGAAAATCCATAATAATTTTGCTGTTTTACGCGTTTCTTTTAACCGTTTTTATTCACATGTTTCAAACGGGTTTTTTTCTGTTTTTCGGTTCGGATTTGTTTACATTTCGCATCACAATTTGCATTTGGAACGCAGAAGAGATGTCTATGCTACTTTGTGGAATGAGGAAATGTCATTGTGCTCTCGATGCTCGACAACAACAAAATCAACATCATTTCTCGATCTACGTGCGATACGACACAGGAAGGATGCATGTCAATTATTTAAGATGCGGCATGAATTCTTGTCGGAGAATTGAAATGTAATTTTAGTGAAGATGAGAAAATTTCGTTGGAGAAATGATTTGCATTTTTCGAAATTATCTACAGTTTTCCAGATTACGTTATGTTGAATGCGTGTGAGCATGATTTTTGCAAGCTATTATGTGTATAGCTTTTGTTGAAAATATTTTCGACATTTTGACCGAGATATTCAATGAATATAATGATAAACGTAGGAACCGATTTGAGAATTTTTCTTTTGTTTCATGCTGTCGTTATTCTCAGTGGTCTTATTGACCAACAAACATCTGAATCTCGTTAAATGAGTGTTGTTTTCAACCATTTATATAGGCCCGGTGTGGCCCATTTCATGCGTGTATTTGAATTCTAATGGCTAAAAAACGAAATGACAGGGAAAAATTAGTAGATAAAAATCGTTACATTTCAGTTGGCGTTGCCCAATTCTCTTATTGAAATGTGTTTTTTTTTCTCGGTTTCATGTGTATTTTATGCAAATTGAATGCGATTTCCTGGACGATACGAATATGTATACGAAAAGGCGTTAAGATCATTTTCACCAACTGAACGGAAACCATCTGTTTTCATTTATCATTCTTTCTACCAAAGCGATTCAGCTGTTTCAAACAGCACAACGATAAATTCGAAGAGAAAGTACGAAGGGAAAATTGTTCTTGTTAGGTATTTACAGAAAAATGCAAAACATTTAATCGAAATGTGTGCCAAATGATTGCCTTCGTCTGCCAGATACCAAATTTCACTCTTACCGTTAAATGAAACATGCCTGAAATTGAGCATTTCAAATTCCGTTTGCATTTTGGCAGTGTTTTGCAGTCCAGCACTGTTTTGGAGTCTAGCACTTTGTTTGTTTCTGATAACACCGACCGAGTTTCGTGTGATATCATCATCAAAAACGACTTTATTATCGGTTGTATTTGAACACATGTTCAAGTAATTCGTTAATGACCTGATTTACAAGTCTATTGATCAGACTTCCTAGTTATCAATTGATTCACATCGCTGTCTGTTACACAATAATTTTCATTTTTATTTGTCTGCATGTATCGAATAAATTTACGCACGGTTTTTTTAGCGGTTTTTCCCGAAATGTTATCAAGGCAGATTGCGATTAAAGTCGCTATATTTAGTTCTTAGATCGCGCAATGTGCGTTCAGTCGTGACTTAACAATGGATCGAATCACAGTGTTTTTATTACAGCTCATCGTTGTTGCCATTGGTAGCGTGAATTCGGCGAATGTGCCAACGCCACAATCACCATCACCAATTTACCAAGCTTCAGTACAAAATTCTTCAAAAAGCCATATTTGCAATGGCATAATCTTGCATCGGAATTGGATTTTGACTGCGGCGCAATGTGTATCAAATCAAAATGCGAGCAAATTGAAAGTGTTTTATGGCTCAAATCGTCTAAATCACAACGGATCGTATGTTGATGTGAAGCAAATTAACATTCATCCCGGTTTCAATAGGACCATCATTCGAAGTGATATAGCACTGCTTCTAGTGTCAGACATTACATTCATTGCAAATGTCAGTGGAGCAATTAATTTGCCAGAACATGATGTTCCAATAAATCAACAGTTAACTGCAAGTGGGTGGAATGTGAGTGCAAGTGTAAGTAAATATGAAATATTCCATTAAACCTTTGATGGTTTGATTTTCATGCGTATTCGATTTCAGACAGCAAACCAATCAGAATGGATACAGCATCGCAATTTGGAAACGATTTCACCGATCGAATGCCGGAAATTGAATCCATTGCTAAACCACATCATTCGCACATGGTTGATTTGTTCGGTCGACACAATTAGCAATCGGGCAAACATTTGCGATGCAGGTGATTTAGGGAGTGCATTAAAGAAAGATAACACTCTGTACGGAATTCGCACAATGAATGAGGAAACATGTAGCAAATCGTCTCTCAACATTTTTACGAATGTTTTCCCACAATTGGAGTGGATTCGATTCATCATGACGGGTTGGCCTTGGTGAAAAACTCACTATTCCATCAAATCAAACACCATGTAATTGATTAGGAACATCAAAATAATGTTATTGAATTGGTGAAGCGGAAAGAAATTGATTTCATCAGAATTGATTTAGTACTCGAAACACAAACAAATAATAAAAAGAGAACATTTTTCGTATGAATCAGATAAACAGACAAAAGTGGTATATTTGTGACCTATGTCGTGCTTGTTTTTATTTTATCTTTTTCTCACTTTTTTTTTGTTATTCGGAAGTGATAACGCTATCTGAACGGTTCTAGGTCGGATAGCAGGCGCGTTTTACGCGTTAAACTCGTTTCGTTCATAAAATGGAATAAGCGATGGTACTGATTCAAAATGGAAATTCCGGGTAGAACAGTACGGTCAATTCTCGCAAAGTGACATTCACGGACGAGAAGCCGCAGATCTTTGATATGCAACCCAAATGAATCGAAATGTGTATGAAAAAAAAACTCACTGGTATGGAACTGGACCAAAAATTGACGAGATGAGGTGAGGCGAAGTGCGGCATGGAAAATGATATTAAAAATACGTGATTCGATACAAACAGTTTTTAGTCAAAATATTCTTGTGGAAGGAAAAAGCCGAGAATGCCGTTACGGTTCAAATATCGAACGCAACCACTCTCATTCGAGTGCGGGCTCGAGGAGGAACGCGCACTAACATTTTGAAGCGTACGATATTGAAAAAAAAGAGCCGAACCGAGCAGAGCAGAAGAGAAAACAATAAAACATCGATGGTATTGTGTGGGAACTGAAAAACCGCAACAAAAATACATTTCACCGCGGAATTTGTTGCACAACAATATACTACGCAAATGCATGCTTCCTATTGTTAACCTTATTTATTTCGTTGCCATGAATAACAAATATTATTAATATTCAGGTGCAATGCGAAAATCAATGGGAACGAACTGGCAGCGGTGTGAAAGAAAGAGAGAGAGAGCGGTGTCCGATTCTCTCCGGCATATAAACAAAATACAAAATAAAAAGTACAACATCTCGGCTTATGCTCATAATGTGGCCAATGAAATTTACACGATTGGAACGTTATGCGCATTTATCGATGCTAATATTGTTGGTGTATCGGGTGCTCATAAAAACAGCTGGTGCGTTATTCCATATGAACAGAACACCCGCCATCGTCGTACAGCCCAGCACAATTGCATACACACACACAAACATTTTCTTCAAGAACTTGGTCATACATTGCTCTACACGTATGTAGTAAAAAAGAAGTAAAAACCAAGCAATTGCTTGAACACTTGAACGAACGAGACCAGAATTTCTCTCCAGTATGTTCACATGTACTTTATTTGAGTATTGTTTTTATGGCTCATTCATTTCACTCGTTTGACCCTTTTTTAACTGTCTTTGCTGGCTGGCTGCCCCTCTTTTTCGACTATTTGTTCTCTCGTGGTACACACTGCACATTCATCACTGGATTGCTAGTTTAGTTTTTGACCGTTAACTTGTTTATTTAAACAATCGAAATATGCACCGACTGCTACAAACATACACACCATGCGGTGTGCCCATATTCATGTTCATGCACTGGCACGAATAGAGTAGTACATTTAAACTGTGTTTGTATGTTCATTTGAATGTGTATGAGCACGGATGAATGCTCTTTGTATACATATTTTACGCACCGAAATGCGGTAGGCGCATTCATAGATTAGCTATTTGCGGCCGGGCTGAAATTCTTTATGAGTATCAAAACACCCAAAAAAAACATCCAAAGAATAGAATTACAAGAGCTGAAAGCACCAATAAAAACACTCAAAAAAAAGGCTGAAAGCCGCTCACTTGAATCGTTTTTTTTCGGTTCTCGCCCTCTTTCCTCATCTCTTCTCGGCTGCTCGAATATTTGCATGTGGTACACGTACCACGTTGGGGAATTTCTGACGAGCCGACAGTACTTGGAATATTTGATTAACAGACAGTTTGAAATGATTATGCGGCGAGAGATGAGTAATTTTCGATGTGTTTTCAAAATAAAAACACAAGGAAGTTTCCGAAGAGAATTTCGTTACCGAATATTTCATGATTAACCGGAAAATGTTACGTGAATTTGATGGACCCTGTGAACCGACGACAAGTGTACTACAATGGAATAGCTAGTGAGCATTGTGGTAACCACGAGAGAGCACATTCGGTTGGAAGTGAACAACCAAAACAAAAGTAAATGAGAAACTTGAAAAACATAATGGAATGGATGTGCAAAGAGAAACGGCAAAGTGAGTGCGAGACATCATGTAACTCAACGGAATGATTCGAAAAATGGAATGGAATGAGTATGTGGTGTAGAAGAAACTGAAGAACTAGCCGCATATACTGCATGAACACATGTAAACCAATGGAAGGTATAGACGCTATTCCAATTACGAGTGCAGACGGGAACAACGTGAAATATCGCAAAGCGGCTATGTATACTACACATTCACATTCGTGTGTACACAGTCTCGCTGTCTCGCTAAGACCACGCACAGTAAGCAAAGAAGAAAAAACAGAAGAAAAACGCACGAGAGAGAGGGAGAGAGAGAGAGAGAGAAAAACAACATATTAATAAGACGCGGCACGACGGTTAAGAGGTAACATTCAACAAGTTAACTAAAACAGCTGTCAGTGGATCTTGTGAGCTGAATCGACCAACACCTTTTTTTCTGTGTATTCGCAGCAACGAGTGTATTGCTGATTTTTGGTTATTTCGTGCACACAACAGTAGTTCGTAAAACGTGTAGCGGCGTGCATTAAGCGCTGCCTCTGTGTGTCTTTTTGTTTTTGAATTCACCAAGAAGTGCTTCTTCTTCGCGGTGTATTTTCTGTTTCTTTACACATCGTGAGCGCCAATTTACCCCATTGTTGCGTTCTTAAAACAACGCCAAACGCACACACCGACTACATTACCAAAAAAAAAATTGCAGCAAATATTTTTCGTATAATTTGGTTATTACTCGTCTTGTGACTTGTTATTTGGATGATTTGCGAGTTGTGCCGACGACAACGACCACGACCACGATTTACATGTATCATCATCGTTTGTGTTCTGCTTTCTGTGCTTTTTTGCGGCGTATTTGGTTCGTGTTTCGTTTGTTTATATATAGTTGCTTAATTGTGATTCATCATCAATTTTTGGCATTCAGTTTTGTTGACGGAATCACAGCGACGACGACAACGGTGTGGTTCTTGGTTAATTTTCGGCGCTTCCAACCAATTGTGACCACCAATTTGTTTTCTCTTTTTTCGGTGTACGTTGGTGTTCTGTATCACAATTTCGACAAGTCTTGCACGAAAACGTGGTCAATTGCAGTCAGTGGACTTTAAAACTTTAAAACCGAGAATTACGTCAAAACCGAACGTTGGTGCTTCAGGTGAAAAGAGCGGTGTTTGCGTGCGTAAAAACAAAAAGTACAAACCCGAAATTTGTGGCCGTCTTTGATGATTGCGTGCTAATAATAAGTGCGCGTAAAATACACATCACTGGCATTCAATTCATGTCATACATTTTTTCGGTTCTTCATTGTCTCTCATTTCATTGGAAACACGGTGTGTGTGTGTATGTGCATTTTGATTGAAATTGGTACAGACCTTGAACAAAACTCAACTCGTTTTTGTTGTTTTTCTTCAGTGGTCCAGCCGATAAGATTGCGCGTGCGCTTGAAGGAACATCGAATTAAGTGGAATATCATGAATATGAATAGCGTATCGAAGACAACGTAAGCGGCATACGAAAAAAAAATAAACTGCATAATTTGTTGACGATCAAAACTACGAAAGCGAGAGAAGAAAATCAGCATATACAAGCATGCTGAAAACTTGCTAGTGAATTCGTTAACTGAGAGAAGAAAAAATTAATTTCGTGGCAATGTTGTTTTATGTGGCGGCTTTCATCAATCAGTGATTATTATATTGTTAATTGGATGTGATGTTCTCTCTTCTCGCATCTCCTTTGCTTGTTATGTCTGTGTGTTTTTTTATCGCCTGATTGAAACCGAGTGATTGCTGAATGCGAACAATTCGGAAATTGTTGATTTGTGTAAATTTTCGCGCATGATATAAATACACCGGAAACATTCGATTAAAATTCAATTTGTAAACAGTGAAAAATGAAGTGAAACACTGTAACTTACAATCTTTGTCTGCCAATTGCAAAATTATAACAGTGAAAAAAAACCTATCTCTACTAACGGGAAAGTAGTGTTAAAGCAACACAAAACATTCGTCGACGTTGCCCAGAGTGCGAATAAAAAGCGCAGACAAGAGAGGGAAAAAAAACAAGAAGAAGAATGAACCGATAATCAGATTTTAAGTGGGAAAAAAGTGTGTATGGACTTTGCTTATGGTAGAAAAATCGAAAATTAATTAACAACCGTTCATTTTCCATTTGGTGTTGATAATTAAAAAGGTGAGTTGAATTCAATTTCGGTTTTTCTCTCTTCTTCTTTTTTTGTGACGTGTTTGTATTGGTTTTCACTTTACGCAAATTACAACGCAATTCCAAAGTGCCAACATTTGAATACAATCTGAAGAGAGTGTAGCTGATCCTCCATTTCATGTGAAAGCGTAAAATGCTAGCGCAAAAATTCAGGAAAAATACGGTTTAATAGCTGAGTCTCAGCAAATATGTGTTGAAAATTGAATTGTATACCATTCAGTTGCATTTTAAAAGCGTTTCCCTTTCTCTTTTTTCCGCTTCTAAAGTAACGCAACTAGTCCCGTTTTCTGTCCACCGCAAACAGCACACAATTTTAGCTGTGAATAATTGGAAAATCAACAATTGTTCAGCGGTCACACATATTTCAATCCGTTCGATTACAACACCGAATTGCATAATACGCTCACACACCGTCTGGTTGTGGGTTTATTAGCCGATTTCACAGCTTATTCTAACGTTTGACACACATGTCAGCGGTTTTACTTTTGGTATATCAGCATCAATACATGGCATGTGTGTGATCGGTATATATGATGGTTTTCACCTCGGTAATGACCGCTTTGCCATTGGCATTTCACGAGGTAGTATTTCCGACAAAGAGTAACCACACACCAGAAGAGATGCGGAAAGTATTTTGCGCTGGACAACGGGTTGCAGCATGATCTCACTGTATATGTGTTTATATTACAACTTTGCACTAAACATTTAACGATCGCTACTAACTGAATAATAAAAATAAATGCTTTCTATGATCGTTATTCGCCGTAAGTATCAAATTACATGTTTTTCGTTTCGATTCATTTTTTTTCAAGAACCGTGTGCTCTTTTGTTAATTTCACCATTGCCATCCATCGTTGTAATTTGTCGTGTATTGTTTGTTTAATTTAAACATCGCCTCTTAGCGCTGACACTGATGATGATGATTATTGCGCTGTGGCCACATCATATTTGCCACAAGTAATTAAGTGATTTTCATATTTTGCATGAAGATAAATGGCTGTGTGTGTTTGCGCCGTCGCGGCTTTTGCTTGAAAAACATCATGTCTCTTAACACTTGATTTTTCTAGCGAAAATGTCAAGGGAATATGGCCAAGATCTTTTTTTTCGTCTTTTTGGATTTCATTTCCACGATAAAGAAGAAAAAGTGAGTTTCTCTGGTTTTTTTTCACTTCAACAGAACGGTATCTCGATTCAACGGCTTTGTTTCTGCCTAATCACTATGCTAAATACCGTTTGCCATTGGCATATTCAAGACATGCTAATGAAGTTATAATAACCGGCCAATAATTTTAAATTTTCATTCATTCTGACGGCGAAAAAAAAACAAAATCAACGGTAATATGCATAAAGACAAAAGGAATGATTTGTCGCATCTTAACACTTTGGTACTGTGCAACCTTCTTCTTTTTTGCTTATTCTTTTGAATAGACATTACTGAACTTTAATACCGATGATGAAACATTTTGGTTTGCCATTTTTGGACCGACATAAATTTATTTCAATTTTTCCTGAATAAGAGGGTTTTATTTATGGCTCCAGGTGCTTCGAACGAGGTCATCGACGTTAGATAACATTACGATATTTACGATTGGTACCAAAGCCGTCAAAACAAACTATAATAGCTCGCGGTTGAATGACTTTATTTATGGACTTCGATATGTTATGCCATTCGGTTTCGCTTTTTCGTTATCTGCTTTCTTCTTTGTTTTTTTTTTCAAAGCGAAAACTCTGCGCGCACAGTTTATTTCATCTTCTCTATTTTCATTAATGAATTTCCATGAATTTTATCGCTGCGGTTCTTTTATTTTAAATTATTATGTCAAATTGTGTGAACGATTCGGTGGAATTAAGATTTAAATGGATAATTAACCGAACAATAGCTGTGATAGAGAATGGAAACTATGGACTTGATATGTGGTTTAATGGCCGGTTTGTGCGACAGTTGCCCGATAAATATCTACAACATTTTCAGTAGTTCTTCTTCTTCTTCTTCTGCTTTGTGAGTTTGTTTTAAATCGACACATTCCGTTTTTGAATAAGTTCGCAGCACCAATGATTTCGAAACATTTTTTTAACAAAGAGAATAGCTCTTAAAAGCGCCAGCACACCGAATGTGTTTGTTCAAATGGCCAACAAAAATGCATAAAATTATTCGAACGACATACCATTCCTCGAAGACAGCACCTCTACGGTTAGCTAATAAAACTCGCGAATAAATCCAAATGATACAGATGCCATCCGAGAGCCATCGTAAAGATTAAACGATGCGCTCAAAGCGATTCGATGAAGAGAAAAAAAACGGAAATTTTTTCCCCGATCTTTGTCTTATTTTAATTGCTTATGATTATGTGCACGATGAACATAATTAAGGGCATCATTTTATTTTATATTGTTTTTGCTTTGTATTTGTGAATATTATCTCCGGTCCGAAGCCACCACATGACATACGATGAAGATTTTTTTTTCAATGGAAATTCAGCCGTGAACCGGTAGACAAATCCATCGTACGCGAGAGAGTAAAGGATAAAGATACCCAGAGAGAGTGAGGGATAAAGAGACAGAGAGAGAGAGAGAGAGTGAGTCATCGCGTAATGAGGACCATCACAGTAGCGATTTGTTATTGTTTTTTATTGTATCCAAGCCGCAATTATTCTGTGACATATAATTACCAACAATTATTATAAATTAAATAAAAGATGCGCCACAATGCACGGCTATGGTGAAATGGAAAAGAAATAATCATAAAAATAAAACAAACGTACGGCCAGACGGCACAGAGCAAAAATGAAAATACGCACATCGAATGAAACAAACGGCAAACCATCGCTGCATCACGTCTCCAAATGCGAAATGATCCACAATGAGTTTTGTGGCTTGTTATAAACGAGGCAGAGACGGAGACATGGATCACATCCACTTTCCCATTCGCCAAATTCGAAAATGCATTTTAATAAACGATTATATGATTTGGAGGACTGACTGTTTGCATAAACATTCGGCGAAACTGATTTCAAATTCAGATGTTTATTTTCGCAACATAATGAGATTTCGTACCTTAATTTTTTTTCGAATCCATTTTGCGGCTTTTGAATATATTATATTGACAATGAAGACAATTAACACGTGAAATGTTTAGAATAAATTTCGTTACCGTTGCGAGACTGGGCGAGAGAGACACACACATACACACACACAGAGAGAGAGAGAGAGAGAGAGAGAGAGTAGAGAGCAGACAGCAGACAGCATCTATGTCATTTACCTGATGTCATGTTTAATTAAAATGCGTGACTCCTCCCCAATAACTGTCATCTGGAAATGATATCCAAAAAAAGTGACGTGAGAAAGAGAGCGGCTCTGGCATTTTCCCTTTCTCTCTCTCTCTCTCACACACACAAGCATACCAACAACTCAGCATGTACATTTTAAATGCACATTTTGATTCAATTAAATTGAATAAAGAGAGAAAAAAATGGGAAAAAGTGATAAAACGTTTATTATTATTATTCAAATAAAATGGTTGGACTTTTTGACAAAAATGATTGAATATTTCAAATCATGTACACAATTTATTCCATCTTTATTCGAGGATGGAATTTTTCGATAACAATTTAAAATCAAATTACGGCTTATCACGTAAAAAAAATCACTGATCGTCCAATACGAACGAAAGAGTGGGGAATGTTCATTCTATCTCGCTCGATAATTCCGGCTAAGCCAAATTTCACAAAACCAATAAAGTGCATGAATCATAAATGCGGTGGAAAACATCACATTGAGCCAATTCTCGCCAGACTTTCAAATAAAATGTGGACTTTTATGTCACACGAGAGAAAAAAGGTTTTATTTTATTTTTATGCTAGACGCGGAATGTGTGCACAGTGCACACGCAAAAAAAAAGGAGAATCCGATGTGGTAAAAAATGTGATGTGCCAAACCAAACCGAGGGTTTTTCCGTTCATTAATGTGATGCCGAGCTGTAGGATGATAAAATGACATCGGAGTGTGCCTTTGATTTAAATGCAAATGTGTGACCGATTCTTTGGTTTGCATCACAACGAGTCCATACCGTTGAAATTACACAGCTTTTGGGTTCACAAACTCTGCTCTCAACCACAGATATTAACAATCAACACACTCGGAACGATAGAACAACAACCAACCCCGCATACACTGTCTAATTAAACAATTGTCCATTCAATAAAACTTTACGCAATTAATGTGCTTGCTTGCGCTGAATTTTTCAACGCCTAATCCGACAAGACATTTGTTTATTTATGCGCTTGAAAAATAATTTAATGCACCTGCCCGGGCATTGTGTCGCATTGTTTCATATTCTATTTCAGCACAATATATAGTAAACACACATAATAAATACGAAAGGGAATTTGCCAATTTTTCACTTTATTCATAAAATATAAATCTGTTCAGCACACCGTATTGCACGCACCGTCGATGCCGAAAATTTGTGCCACCAGTCAACGCGAACATATACACATGTACGATGCCACAATGCGAAAAATAAACACCAAATTCGTGACATATCACAATGTGAAAAAGACCAGAAACTCCCATCCCCCTCCGACACGAACGACAAATCTGCTCGTCGACAATCATCAAATTCATAAATTTTCGAAATAATAATGTAACAAAAACCTAAACGGTGGTGACGATGCCACAATTTTAATGCAATGACACTCAAAATGTAACACGCAGCCACGCATTTAGCTGAGGATTATCCGGGTTGTATTGTGCGGTTTTGTCACTCGACCATTCGAGTATTAAAACAATTTTGATTTAGGATTGTGTGTAGCCGTGAATATTTTATCACCGGTTGGCCGATGTGTGTGTATGTGTGTAATTAAAATTCTTCACGCACAAAGTTTTTTATTTACCTTTATTTTACATTAAATTTTGAATAATTGGATTCGAATGAATGAGGATCGCTCGGTCGGCGTTGAAATGGGCGGAGA